CCCGGCCACCTAGGGACGCAGCCAGCCTGCGGGGGCCTGGCACAAATCAGCTCTGCCCTCGAGATGGCACTGGGGGGGTCTGTCACACTGGGTGGTGGTGAACAGAAACCAGCCCCGAGGCCCGGGGACCTGGTTGGCAGCCCGGTTCTGGCTCCTTCGCGAGGCGGAGCCCTCCCACTCAGCGGGCACGGGGTGGATTTGTGCCCGCTGTGTTCCCTGAAGTCTCCGGTTGGCTGTGCAAAACCTTTTCGATGCATTCTTAACTTTAGAAGGGCCTGGGTGCAGCGCAGAGTTGTGCGGGCCGTGGAGCTCCCGGGCACCCGCTTCCAGCCCCTGGTTGGTGTCTCCCGTTACTCGGCCACACTGGTCATAGCTCATGGGCCAGGCCAGTCCACTGTTACGCACAGAGTCCAGACCAGAGAGGCCAGGCTGCGGGGGGCCCATCCTGTGCGCTTATGCACGCTCGCTGTGGGTTTTCTCTGTGATGTTGGCCTTGATCCTTTGGCTGAGTGATTAGTAGTTGTAGTAGTTAGTAGTTAGTGTCCTTGAACTGCATGCCGCATTGTGTGGGCGGAAGTCATTCCGTGCAGACTGCACTTAAGGAGGATGTGCAAGGGCATTATCTTCCCAACTTCACCGGCCTTGGTGCAGCACCTTCTCTCTGCCGTCTCCTGTCCACACCCGCTCCTCGTCCTCCCACCACTGGGACTGTAATTCCCTTGTCTGTGTAAACAGTAGGTTAATTGGCCAAATTAGTAGACGTTTGGGGTCAGCCCCCCAGCTTCCAGGGCCTGCTGTACCTCAGTGTCGCAGCCTCATCACCGGCGATGTTTACCGGCTGTATTTTGAAAAGTGCTGGTTTTGAGCAGTGGCCATGTGAAGGACTCACCCAGGTTCCTCTCCCACGTGGGGGGGTGTCACGCGGTTCGTCACACCGCACAGCGGCTCCCCGTGAAGCGGCAGGTGCTGTTGCGCTGGTTTCAGGGGTGTAGGCCTCAAGGCAACAGGAGCAGCAGTGCGCGAAGCAGCCGCACAGCTCGGAGCTGCGGGCCGGGCAAGCGCATTTGAAAGCGAAACGTTATCAGTGTGTTTCTTTTTCTTCTTTTGGGAACCGAGAATCGTACTTGGGACCTGGTGCTTGCCAGTCAGGCGCGCGCTGCGGAGCTATATCCCCGGCATCTGTATTTTCTAACCGCTCTCCCTGTTTCCCGCAAGGAGCTGATAACCCCACCTGTCACCTTGCCCCTGTGCTGGAGCCCGGGCTGTGGAGCAGCAGAGCGCTGTGTGTGTTCCTGGCTGTGCACCCGGCAGCTGTGACCGCAGTGAGGTCACTTCTGTGTCTCTGCATCTGCCGGAGGGAAGGGCGCTGTGATGGTATCGCGGCTGCAGGGACAGGACAGGTTCGTTTGGTGGGCGGGTCTCACGCCGCCTGCACTGTCCACCAGGACAGTGTGACTCCAGCAGGACGGCAGCCAGGGAGCTGTGGTTACCTTTGCAGACTTTTAACAGTGGTGTAAGTGCGGGACCCAGAGTCAGGTGTGGAATTAATAAATAATAAATTAATTCCACTAAATTGACCTATGTTCATTTTTTCATTGTAATTTAGGAGCCATAAAGAATGTAGGGAGTGCCCTGGATTTAGGGAAAAATTACCATGTTTAGCTAAAAAGTGTCGATTCCAAGACTTTTATAAAATTTTGTCTTTCTTTCCATAGCACTGGAAGGCAGCGTTTTGGGGAGAGCTGTCATTTTGCAAAGAAAAAATGAAAGTAGGAGAGAATGTGTGTGCGCACGGCAAAGCCCGGAAGCCTGGCCAGTGGGCCATTAGGGCAGCTCACTGGTGACCTGCGGTCCCTCTCCTACCTGCAGGATTTTTTTTTAATGTTCGAATGTTCATTAGAGCAAGTTCGCAGTGCACGGTGGTTCCCTTCATTGCAGGGAGCTGGTGCATGCACAGAACACATCTTAATTCTTTCTTTGTCCCCTTCCCTCCTCCGACCGCTCCGTCTCTCATCAGTCCCCTTCGCATCTGCAAAACCACCCGGACGAGGTTGACTCAGGTCCTTGCCTCAGCAAAATCAGAAGCAGTTGGTTCCATGTCAAGGGCCGCGGGGCACACTGGCAGATGGGTGAAACCGCGGTGCTGGGCCTAGGAGCGCTGGCCCGGCCCCTCCAATGACAGCCCTAACGAGAGCGGAGGTGGGCAGTCCAGATGGCCTGGAACATTTTGATGCCCTAAGTGCAAGCAGTGTCTTTACTAACCATGCACGCACGCGCGTGTAAACGGAGGGGTGGGGTGGGAAGTGAGTTCTCCCTCTAAGATGTTACTTCCTGAGTTTAGGTTAAAGTCGGGTCAGAAAAATGTTTTATTCCTCTGAAGTGTTTTGGTAGCAAAAGCCAAGAGTCCCTGGCAGAAACTTCGAATAACTTTTAGAAGGTGGCCCAGCAGGCCCAAAAGGTCCAAACACACCAGGTTGTGAGAACCAGGATCCAAGCTCCATGCTTAGACTTTTTTATCCTGCAGAATGTTTTTGAAGTCTGAGAGAAGACTTTAGAATTAGCTTCGGCAGACCTTTAACAAATCTGTGTGCCACGTGTACACACGCCCACGCACGCACACACACACACACACCCTGATTTAAAAGATTCAAAAGGCCCTGGCCGTGCTATCTTCCTTAGGTGACTGGCTGGCAGACTGGTGTCTACCTGCATAGTGGCCCCATGTCTGTGATGTTACCATTTTAGGTGACCATCCTGCTTGACAGGAGACCCTTGTCATTAAGTGATCCGTGTTCAGCCTGGATGCAATTTATGTGCAGTTTTTTTCTTTTCACTATAACAAAAATAATGGCGGTATTCTCTTTCTTTTGAATTTTTATTCGGAGACAGGGTTTCTCTAAGTTGCCCAGGCTGGGCTCGAACCTGCCGCCCTCCTGCCTCAGTCTCCCAGGTGGCCAGGATTACCGGTGTGTGCCACCTTAGCTTCCTTGTGGGGTGGTGATAAATGTTCGTGAGCTGAGTTTTAACATTTCCACAGCGGGCCAGTGTGTGTTTTGAAGGCGAGCTCAGGGCGGCACCTCTGGCTCGCACACCCCTTCAGGGCGACGGGTCTGCTTAGACCGAGTATGTCTGCAGCACCTTCGCCTTTGGCTCGTCTTGTGGAGGAAGGGGGTCGCATGGAGGCGCGCAGCGATCTGTAGATCAGGCCAGTGATGGGTGCGGGCGTCTCAGGAGGAAAGGCGGCTGGGCCCGCTTGCTGGACATGGACAGCCCTGGGTAGCACCGCGGCATGTTTGACTCTCCAGCAACTCTCTCAAGACTTTCTTGTTTTCAACACTGTGGATCACGGGGCCCGGCTGGGGTCCGCAGTGAGCTCCAGCTTCCCTCCATCCAGGAAGGAGAGGCTGGTGCTGGTGCCAGTGCTAGCAGCGTGGAGAGGGTGCTGACGTTTGCTTTAAAGATGGTTCACATCCAGCCACAGTGGGCAGCAGTATCCCCCCAACTGCACAGAGTTTCCCATGAGCCACCTACCGCGTCCCCGGTGCACACCCCAGAACTGGGTGTGTCCCCCAAACAGGGGCCCAGAGAGCTGTGTGTCCGCCTGTGTTCACAGCTGGAGCCCGGTCCAGTTGCTCACGGGGACGGAGGGGCCGAGCTGCCCAAGTGTGCTGGGCGGGAAGATGGCAGGCAGAAGGGTCTGGGCCTGGAGGTGGAACATGGCCCCCTTCAGAAGGGGGCAAATGCGGGTCCCTGCAAAGCGGGGTGACCCTTGAAGACTGGATGTGAGAGAACAAGCCAGACACAGATGAGCACCATGTGAGTCCCCGCACCTCATGGGCATCCGAGCACAGGCGAGGTCATAGGCTGGGAGAGGATGGCGGTTGCCATGGGCTGGGAGGGCATGGGGTATTAGTTCAGGGGTTTGGGTTTGCTAGGAAGATGGGAAAGTCCTGGAGGGGATGGTGGTGCCGGACTGCACAGTGGTGCGAGTGTGTTTAATGCTGCTGAGCTGCACACTGAAAAATGGTTAAATGGCCAGGTGTGGTGCTGCACACATGATGCCAGCACTCTGGGAGGCTGAGGCAGGAGGATCATAAGTTCAAGTTCAGCTTGGGGAACTTAGCAACTTAGCAAGACCCTGTCTCAAAAAAAGTCCCCCCAAACAAACAAAAACAACAAAAACTGGGGTGGAGTAGGTCAGTGCAAAGGCCCTGGGTTCGGTCCCCAGTACCACACACACACGCACAAAGCGTAAAAATGGCCAGTTTTACTATATGTACACTTTGTTTACTTTTAAAAATGCCCCACATGGACACCAGCACCCTCATCTAAGCCCAGGCTGCTTGGAGAAGGACCGTGATGATGGAACGGGTCCCACGTGAAGAGCCGTTGTTCCCGGAGAGAAGCTTCTTCCTGGAAGGAGGCAGTGGCTGTGGGGAGGTGGCAGGGGGAGGGAAGACGCTCCTCGCTGTGTGTCCTCTAGTGCCTCTTGGTTTTGTGACACGCAGCCGCATTCCCGGCCCAAAAAACAGCTCAAACCCTTTAGATCTCCTGGCAGTGAAGACGGCCGCGGAGGGAGATGCAGATTCCTTCTGAGGGTATTCTCACCAGGGAGTTCTTCCCTCTTGTTGCAGCTCTGCCCTCACGACCCAAGCACCTCCCACGGCCTCCTCTTCCTAACCATCCCTTTGGGGATTTTAGCATAAGAATTTTGGACAGAGGCCTGGTGTGGTAATTTGTGGTCCTAGCATTCCCAAGGCTGAGGCAGGAGGATTGCTTGAGTTCATGGCCAGCCTGGGCTACAAAGTGACTTCAAGGCCAGCCCGGACTACATAGTGAGACCCTGTCTCAAAACAAAACAACAACATAAAAGAATTTGGGGGACAAACAGTCCAGAAATGCTGGACATGGTGGCACATGCCTGTAATCCCAGCACTTGAGAGGCTGAGGCTGGAGGATTGCCATGAGTTTGAGGCCAACCTGGGCTACAAAGTGAGTTCAAGGGCAGCCTGGACTACATAGTGAAACCCTGTCTCAAAAAAAAAAAAAAAAAAGAAAAGAAAAGACAACATAGTCCAGAACTAACCATGAGGAGCCCCTGTGGTAAGTACCTTGCCCAAGGTTATTGAACCCCAAGTGATCAGCTTTATTTCTCATCGTATCTGATTGCTTGGGGGTAGGTATAAGGGTTAATTTTCCTTCCCAGGTTCTTGTTAGCTAGTGTGACAGGGGCACTCTGACCAACTCAGCCGCCCACCTGAGAGCTCTGGGTTTTACCTCAACGCATACTGAAGAAGAGATTGAGACGTGTGTCCCAAAAAAAAGTGACAGATACAGCACCTGGCCACGCATTTCCGGGGAGGGAAGACATGCCGACCCCTCAGCCTGTGTCCCTTCCCGGTGGTGACCGCGGCTGCATTGGCCCAAAGCAAAACAAAGCAAAAGCGAAAGTTCAAAAACAAAAGTCCGAAGACAGCGGTGCTCAGGCCGCTGAGCATCGCGCCTGTGGCTTTTCTTTGGTGCTTGGCTGCGGCCCAGGGCAGGAGCCCGAGCCTGCCCGACAGATACGGCCCCGGGCTCTGCCTTTTGGCACTGCGGCTTCCACGGTTTAAGTGCAGCTCCGATTTCTGAAGCAGATGGCTTCCCGTGCAGAGCAGGATTCCTGACCCTGGCATCTTTCGGAGAGGCGAGAGAAGCCGAGGGGAGAACTCCTGCTTTGTATTTACAAATTTTATTAATAATAAAGTACTCGGGTCTTCCGGCCTCTCTGGCAAACGCTGTTTCACTTGGGCGGGGGGTGGAGGGAGCTTGGGGTTTCTGAGACCGGGGAGTCACCCAGGTGGGCTGGCCCGAGCGGGCCGTGGAGGGGGAGGAGGGAAGAGTGCAGATACAGCGGCCGGCCGGGAGAGGGTCCGCTGGCCCCGGGGCTGAGCCACACCCCCAGGCTTTCAGGTCAGTCTTTAGAACTGGAAGCAGCCCAGCGCAGGCCCGAGGGCCCCAGGAGCGGGGAGATTTTCCGTGCAGGGTGGGCGGTCTGAGAGCTGGGCAGGGTCCTGGGAAGCGTCCCCAGCCAGCCAGCAGGTGCCAGCACCTGGTACTGTGCCCTGACTCTGGGTGGCAGGAGCCGCAGGTCGCAAATGAGCAAACAGCGTTTCCGTTGCTGAGCGACAGACAGGAGAGCGCAGGGAGGCGCAGCGCGGTTCCCCGCGGCGCCATCAGCGGAAGGCTGCGTGGTTTTGCCTCGCTTCGCTGGCACCTCTGTGTTGGTGGGTGTCCGTCCTCGGTACAGGCTGTGGGGTCACAGGGACTGGGTTTGTATTTGGCTGCCCCGGCTCTGCGGCCTTGAGCAAATTACTTAATCTCCTTTGGGCTTTCATTCCCGTGTCTTTAAAATGCAAATTGGTGTAGTATCTATCTATCTCATGAATTTGTTAGGAAGATTAAATTTTTTCTTCCTGAACTAGAAGAAAGCATCCTTTTGCCCCTGTTCCTTGCTTTTGCACGCAGTCTTGATCCCTGGAGCTGTAGCAGCTTTCTTGTGCACATGAGGTACACAGCCTGAGGGGAAAGCTGCTATCTATGGAAAAGATGGTGGACGAAAAGGGTGGAACCACAGGGTCCTTGCGGTGGCCACAGGAGACCTCCCTCTGGACTTTCTGAGGTGGACCACTGACCTGCTGTTTTGTGCAACTGCAATTATGTTAACTGATACAGCTTTATTGCCAGCTGTAAACTCATAGCCACGGCCGTGAGTATTAACACTTGGGCTCTCGGGGAAAACCCAACACAGTGCCCCCCGACAGTAGGTACTGCATGGTTTATGGTAGGAAGAGGGATAGTTGAAAAGAGGGGAAGGAAGGATGGGAAGGAAGGAAGGACGGACAGACGGACTTACATGCTGATAAATGGTAAGCACCTCTCTGGGAAATAAAAGCCAGCGTTTGCTGGTTTCCCTGGTGTCCGCATTTCGGTGCTGAGGTGGTAGTGCTGTGCTCAGGCCTGGGAAGAGTGCGCACAGGCGGCTCCGGAGGCTTGTTGAGGCCTGCCTCGGCTTCCTGCCAGAGGGACAAAGTAGGAAGTAGAGAGAGAAGAAAAGGATGGGCCCATTAATATTAATAACAGTCATCATGATAAGCAGCTCAGCAGCGGCAAGCCTAACGTCCAGGCAGCGCTTACCTTACAGAGCGCCTGACCCTCACCCGGCTGCCAGGCCAGCCGCTCTTCGGAGTGCTTGGCGCTTCTGCTTCCGGGCAGGTGGAAAGCTTAGGTCAAAAGAGAAAGATGAATTGGGGCCACTGGCGGGGTGAAAGGGAAGAGCTCTGTAGTCTTAGCATCCGCTGCAGAAGTTTTGTAGATTTTATATCCTGGTGTCTTTTCCTAAAACCCCAACTGTGGGCGATCCGTGGGTTCCACCTCATCGGAGGCCGGGGAGGGAAGGCAGGAAGCACAAGCATGGCTGAAGGGCGCGGGGTGGTCCTGCTGTGGGCTCCGCCCGGGACAGATGCCAGGGCTTCCTGTCCCGCTGGAGGTTAGGATGGTGCCGCCGAGTTGAAGGAGGCTGCTGCTTCTCAGCACGCTGCAGACCGTCTGTGGGGGTCAGTTTGTCCCTCCTGACCCTTGGGCCGGCTGTCAAACCCGCTTTGCAGACACCAGGGCTGTCCCCAGGGGTGCTGGTGACGGTGCCCGGTCCTTTGGATTTTCCAGTCAGAGCCTGTGACCCGCAGCGCAGGAGTAGTTCGCTTCCTTGTTGTTTGACAGCGATTCCCCTGGGTGGCAGCCCTTGCTCACGCCCCGAAGGGGGTTCAGAGCCCGATGCCTGTAAATCCGTGTCAGGATTTGAGCGATCAGCTACCTGCCAATGTCTTGATCTTTCTAGAGGCAGAATGGAAATTGCTTTGCAATGCCCAGAGCATTGCCTGCCCCTAAGATGGGGCTGAACTTTTTCTTAAAGGGCCACTCGTGGACCTCCTGGGGTCGGCAGGCTGAAGGCAGTTTCTGTCACCACAGCCCGGCTGTGCGGGCGTAACTCGAGGGCATCCCCCAGCCACCAGCAGGTAAGGCCGCTGGCTGTTTCCTGTGGGACTCCACACGGGAGGCAGAGGGAGGCTTTGGGCCTGGCCGTTGTCTGCCGACCTCCGTTCTTGGGGTCTTTGGATGGATCGGAAGCTCCTCCCCTGCCGGTGTAGCAAAGTCAGTATGCGGTTTTGCTAAAAGACCCCTCCCTGCTGGAAGTCATGGTGAACCCCCTTCCCCCGGGGTGGGGCTGAGCCCGTGAAGAGGCGGAGGGAGGATCGGGGTCACTTTGTGCCCACGTGCGGCCTCTGGACTGCATGTCGGTGCACTGACACACTTCCTGGCCTCGTTTGTGTTAGCGGCTGGCTGATGCTTAACTTCCCTTCGGAGACCTTAGATCCTGTGTCCTTCTCTTTCTAATAATGTGGAGCTAAGAGGAGGTGAGGCGCGTGCTGCTGGCCCTCGTGACCCTCCCCTGTCGCTTAGCTCCTGGGGACTTGGCCGGTTTCAGAGGTCGCCCCTGCTGCCTTGAAGCGTGGTTGGGATTCTCAGTCTCCCGGCCTCTGAAGGAAGGAGCGCGGTTCCCAGCTGCACACACGCTGCGGCTTCCCCTCAGCGGGACGGAGAGGCCAGCATGCAGCTTCCCGTCGCACCCACCTGTGTTCACAGGGTGACCCGGAGGAGGTGTGGGGCCGCGTGGTGGCTCTGGGACCCACGCGCCAGGGGCTGGGTCCCCACGCTGACAGCGGGGTCCACAGGGAGGTGGGCGGCGGGTTTCCAGTGTGTGCCCGGGCTCCGCTCGCTTTGGCACTCCAGCGTTGGGTACGGATCACCACAGCAGCTCGGCTTTTGGGACGGAAGCCTGCCATGGGGCTGGCGTCTCCTGGTTTCGATCCCTTTTGGATCTTGCAGGAGCGGCAGCCTGCGCCCTGCTGCCCGCGCTGGCGGCCTCACGGACGGCGGAGGCAGGGTTTGCACTTGCACGTCCCGCTACCTGCAGCTGTCACGTTCCTCGAGGGGGCCTCGTGGGGGGCCTCGCCAGTGCGAGAGGGGTGTTTGTAACAGGGCTGTGCGGGTCCGGCAGCCCCTCGGGGACAGTGACTGAGTCTGGGCCTCGCGCTGGGCTGTGGGGGTGCGGTGAGAGGTGGCGGGGGAAGGGCTAGGGCGATGGGCATGGGGTGCCGCAATGGCGGCTGCTCTTTCTCCTCCTGACACCTTCCTGCTGTCCGGTTGGAGCCGTCGGGCGCTGTGAGGGCGCAGTTGGAACTGGAAGCCGCCTCTGCAGAGCCTGCCTGTCTCCCTCCCTCTCCCTGCTCCTCTCCCTCCCTCCGCTCCTCCCTCCCTGCCTTCCTTCTTCCTTCATTCATCCCACACGTGTGTTTTGAGCAGACCTGCATCATCTTTCCCACTTAAAGTGAGCTTTTAAAAAAATCAGTGACAAATGCTGGCGAGGATACGGAGAAAAACTCTCATACGCTGTTGGTGGGAATGTAACGTACCGTAGCCACTATAAAAATAGTATGGAAGTTCCTCAAAAACTAAAAATAGGGCTACTCTAAGGTCCAGCTGTCCTACTCCTGCATATGTGGCTGAAGGAAATGAAGTCAGTGTACAAGAAAGACATGTGCGTACTGTTTCTTGTGGTGCTGTTCCCAATAGCTGAGACATAAACTCAGCCTAGGTGCCCATCAGCAGATGAATGGATAAAGAAAATATGGTATGCATGCAGGATGGAGTACTACTCAGCCATAAAGAAGGATGACATTGTGCCAGTTGCAGGAAAATAGAACTAGGGGACATCATGTTACACGGGACAAGGGACACACAGGTAGACAAGTCTCACGTGTTTTCTCTCAAATGTGGAAACTAAAAAGAAAAAAGACCTGAAAGCGGGAGAGGCACTGAGAGGAAGGGGAGGGGTGGGAGCAGGAGAGAGGCGGGGTCAGGACTGCCGGTTGTGTTCATTCTCTCACTCGGCCACTCATTTGTGCTTAGCTCATTCAGTGTGACGCAGGCGCGTGGTGCCGGTAGTGAGGTGCCTTGTAGGAGTTCGGACTTGGGAGGGGTGAATTTGATGGCTACTCTCAAAACTCAGAAACAGATCAGCACAGGAAAGCTCTGAGATAGGGTGGAGAGCGGTAGTCACGCCCCAGCAGGCGACACCTGCACTTTATATTTGGGTGGCAGTAAAGACACCAGATTGAACTTGAGGAGTAGGGTTCCCCCTTCAGGTCCCCCATTTATTGAGGGATCTTGGATTGGTCACCAAGCTCTACAGCTTAGCGTCTGCTCTGTCTTTCCTCCAGATTTAGAGCCCTTTGTGAGCCGGGTGTGGTGGCGCACGCCTGTAATCCCAGTACTCGGGAGGCTGAGGCAGGAGGATCGTCTCGAGTTCGAGACCAGCCTGAGCTACAAAGTGAGCTCAAGGCCAGCCTGAACTGCATAGTGAGACCCTGCTTCTAAAAAAAAAAAAAAAAGAGCCTTTGTGAACCATCACCACGCTGTCTCCCTACGAGGGCCGCATACCCTGTGTTGTGTGACTCTTGGACTCGGCAGTGTGCCGTGGTGCTTATGGGATTTGCTGTGCAGTGCGTTCTGCTGTGGGCGGAGTGTGCCTTAGGGAGGCAGCTGACACGGATATGCCACACACCCTGAAGAGGAGCCCGACACTAGAGCCAGGGACCTAGCTCAGCCTCTTGGAGGTGTTTGGTGTTGGGCCAGTCACTTAATCTCCCTGGGGTGCTTTTCCCCGTGTGCGAAATAAGTGAAGTTGACTGCCAGCCTCACCCGATACACAGGAGGCCCGAGGCCCAGTGAATGCATTGGGTATACACGGCCCCACCTAGCAAGGGTGCACAGAAGTGCAAGTCGGTCGCTCGCAGGACATTCCTGACATGGCTCCACCGCAGCTCCGTGGTGCCTGGCTGTGTTCCTCAGTGTTGACCTTACCCATGTAGTCCAGGATGGCCCCAGCTGCGCCTCATCCATTTCCGGGGAAGGGCGCCTGTGCTCACATCCCATTGGCCAGAACAGGGTCACATGACTTGCTTCACATTGCCAGGGAAGCGGAGAAATCTCATCCTTACTCTAGGAGGCAGGCGCCTGACCCACTTCGTATGCTGTTGAAGAAGGCAAGGTTTAATTCGGGGGAGTGAGCCAGGTCTCTGCCCCTGCAAAGTAAATGCTACCTCTGAACCCTGAGGTAGAAATGATTCAGGGACACCCGCAGCTTGAATTGGAAATGATTTTACCCTGCTGGAGTCTGACTGAACACCGTCCCCAGCTGTAGGGAGCGCGCTGTGTGCCCTCCGCTGTGCTGAGGAGGGCTTTCTGTACGCCGTTTCCAGTTAATCCACACCGGAAGTGAGTTCCCGAGGCTTTGAGAAGTCGGAGAAAGGTTTGAACCTGGGACGGTTGCACTGGAGACGGGGCCGCCAGGGCCTCAGGAAGCTCAGCCTTCTGGGTCCACTTCCAGCTTTGCTGCACCTGCCCCTCCTCCGCCCTGTCCATGGTGGGGACGGAAGGGGACGCTGGTGCCCTGGCTGGTGGTTTTGCTGGGATGCTTTCATCACACGGGATGGACTGAGCTTTGGGTGCCTCAGCAGGCAGAAGAGGCCTCAGGTCCTTCAGAGGAGGATGGGCGGGGCCAGGAGAGCCACTTACAGTGGAGGGATGTGACCCGGAAGTGAAATACACCCTTGGGTGCAGACCTGCTGTTGCCTTCAAGGGTCACTTGGAGCAAAAACAAAGAAAAGGAGGCCATCTTCCCGCTTTGAGTTCTCCGACAGCAAACCAAACTTCAGGGCCTGAGCTGGGGGCCCATGCCCTGCTTGGCCCATCCGAGATTCCGTAGCCTCCTCAGGCCTAAGTGACTCCTGTTACTTTGCAAATAGTTCAGGCTTAGTGTGTTCAGAATTTAGTTACATTCACCTATTTCTTGGTGATATAAAAATCGCTGTTCAGTGAAATAATGTGATCATGTCCTGGTTTAGGCGCAGGATTTTAAGGCACCATTTTTACACAGTCCTTATCTTCTAGAGGCTGGGGTGTCTGGCCTGCCCAGCGTCCCAGCAGGGCGGGTCTTGGGTGCCCCTGCAGGGTCAGTGCTCTGTGAGTGCTCAGAGGGACAGCTCATGGTGACCCAGCGTACATCCTGCCTTCTTCAACTCCAGGAAGGTCAGAGAGGCACTTTGGTGCCCTGGTGCCTCAGTCTCCCCAGCTATAAAATGGGCTTGAGAGTGATAGAACCTCCCTCACAGGTGGCTGCTGTGCGGTTTGAATGAGATGTTAGCATACAGTGTGCGGAGACCACGCCCAGCGTGAATGCACACAGAACAGTCGTGTCTCTGCTCTTCCGGCCTTCGCAGCCCCCACCCTCGTGTGCTGTGATCCTCCTGCCTCAGCCTCCTGTGTGGTGGGATCACAGGTGTGC